TCTTATAGATCGTTCCAGATATCTAGACGGTCCGTCCTCATAACGATCTTCAGGGTAAGTGCTTCCCCATCTGAATTACTGTATCACCCGTCTGGTCCCCAGATATGCTAGGGACTGTCAGTTGGTTGAAAAATGTTCAAGGAGGGCCACCAGACTGGTGCCTGCACTTCGGCACCTCAACTACCCTGAGAGATTGGAGCGCCTGGACTTTTGGCTATACCACAGACAGACAGGGGACCTGGTTGAGGGTATACGCATCTCCAGAGGCACTACTCGTTAGTGTCCATACTTGGAGTTGGCGGACGCTCGCCCCTAGGAGTCCACAGCTCAAGATTGAAGAAGCCGCAAGTCCAGAAAACCGTGAGGGCAAACTTTTTCGGAGTGAGGGTTGTAAACTCTTGGAACAATCTACCAGAGAGTGTTGTGACGGCACCGAGTGTGAGCTCTTTCAAGACAAGACTTGACCAACACTGGAGCGGGTTCAGGTACATTCAGGAGCCGGTGCATGCCCAGTATTTGCCAACAGTGCGTGACAGAAACGTGACCGATCTCCCGGGCGGCTAGCGAGCCGATCTTTTGGTGAAGAATATAAATGAAAAGAGACGTGACCGATCGCCCAAGCGGCTAACAAGCCGATCAGTGGCGAAGAGGATAAAAGAAAAAAGTCGCCGAAGATGCCCACGAGAACTGGGAGTCATCCCAGAGCAAAATTTCACACCTGCTGAATGACCATTTTAAACTTTCAGAAGTAAAGTTTGACCGTGTTCAACGCATCGGGAAACCCAACTCCTCCCGCCCCGGCGACACCATAAAAAAATTTTTCATCCCCCTCTGACCGTGACAAAGTGTTTTATCAACGCAGTAAACTGAAAGGCACCACTATCTTCGTCAACGAGGACCTCTGCCCAGGTACGTGTAGTGGACGTCTCCCCTACAACTGCGTATCCGCATTCCAATGCAACAGTATCCTAGCAACCAAACGAGCGGCCCAGGGGGGGCGTCACCAGATGCCACAGTATCCTAGCAACCAGCCACCTGCTACGTCTTCCCTAGCTCGAGTCGAAACCGGCGAGTTCCCGCAGTTTACTTCCGGCTGCTGTGTATATAAGCTCTGTCTCTCCATTGAGATTCATTCTGGCCTCGGTTCCTGAACCGCAACACCTCCTCCTCCGCCGCTGCCTGGCGGCCCTCGCTTCTCCTCCGCCTGCCTGGCGGTCTCGCTCCACCCGGCGAGCATGGCAACCCACCAGCTGTCCTTCTCTGAGCATCCTCACCAACCAGCTCTCTCATTCTACTCTACGTTCCTGAACATGCAACACCTCCTCCAAAGCTCCTCGCTGTCGCTCTCATTCAACCTGGAGGCCAGCAACAGGCAACATCTTCTCTAACGAAGCTCCTGCACATCTACCTCCTTCAACACGCTACTCACCGAACGTGTCTACTGAGCAGCTCCTCACCACACGGCATCTCCAGCACCAGACTGTCTACCATATAACTTACATTATATAAGAAAACCACCACCTTAGAGTTTCCATCCAAACTGAGTGCTAGACAACATAATATCACGAAACCCTACATACGACTAAAGCCCGTCTACAGAAAATGGACCAGTTTAAAGAAGCCAGGAACAAAGGGAAAAACATGACGTTCAGTCATAAAAGTCATAAAACCCTTGTTGTGAGGGATCGGGCAAGTGGACACCTGCCCACTCACCCACCCACTGTACTCCCCCCTCAAGCCCTTCGAGAACCCCTCCCACTGAGGGGGGAACCAGCCACTGTTGCTATCACCTGAGGAGTTCCCCCCCCACCCACTGCCGGCCAACTCGAGTACTACACGTCTACTCTCTGTGGTGGAAACCAATAACCCTGGGGACAAAGGTCTCTTCAAGAATTACCGCCCCATATCAGTCCTCCCAGCCTTGAGTAAGATACTGGAAAAACTAGCGTGCAATAGACTAAATTCATTCTGCAATGCCAATAACATCTTTACAGACTCCCAGTTTGGATTTAGAGCTAGAAGGTCGACTGAGAGTGCTCTGCTATCCTTTACTAATGACATCTTAAATTCCTTTGATGACAGTCACTTTACAGTCGGTATATTCTTGGACCTTTCTAAAGCCTTCGATACTGTCGAGCATACCATCCCCCTTTCAAAGATTGAACATTACGGCATTAGGGGCCTGTCCCACAATTGTTTTACCTCATATCTGTCCAACAAGATGCAGTATGTCTGCTATAATAATCACCAATCTGACTCCCCGCCAATCTTGTATGGCGTCCCCCAAAGTTCCATTTTCGGTCCAGTACTGTTTTTGTACATAAACGACATAGTCCACGCCAGCACACTCATAAAATACAACTTATTTGCAGACGATAGCAATCTCTATGCCAGCAACTCAGACCTCCATTCCTTAATGAAAACTATGAATGCTGAATTAACTAATGCCAGGACCTGGGTAATATAATAAACTGACCTTAAACCTTGAGAAAACCCACTACACGATCTTTCACAGAAGGAAAAACTTACCCCCCAGACTTGGACCCCCTGTACCTTGGTAATACAGTCCTCAAACGAGAACAAAATACTAAATTCTTCCGAGTTATTGTTGATGAGAAACTTAACTGGAGAAACGACATACAAGCCATTCACGGTTAAGTCAATAAACAGTGCAGTATCATGTATCACACTCCACAGTCACTCACTCTCACAGCAATGAAAGAAATCTATCATGATCTTGTTTACCAACACCTGATACACTGTCACACACTATGGGGGGCCTCTGGCTCTTCAAAACAAATCCTTGGTTACTGCACAAAAGTTGTACAGACAATGACCTACTTGAAAAAAACAGATTACACAAACGAAAAATTTGCTAAATTGAAAATGATAAAATTCGAAGATATTAACACCTACTGCTGTGCCCCCTTTGTATGCAAATCTATCAATCACTTGCTTGACATAATTATTTCCAGTTCCAGAATAATCAGAGATACAACTTAAAGCACCCAGAGCTACTAAGACCACCCTCCCCCCATGTGCTACTCTCAGTCACAGACCTCCATAAGATATCACGGTGTGAAGGTGTAGAACAACACCCCCCACCCACCCGAGCAAAGACTACTCTCCCTTCCTTTAAATTATCTCTTAAAAAATATCTATTGTCTAAGTATTAATATTTCCTCTGATGCCTACTATATTTACAGTACCTGCTTTTATTGTACCATCAAAACTTTTATCGGAAATTATCATTTAAATAGATAAGAAATTACCATTGCAATAAACATATTTGCCAACTAGACATAATCCTGACAGCTCTGTCCTCTTGTTCAACCTTAATACTGTACAACCCATGTTGTACTACTCCCCCATTATACTTCTGTTTTTCAATTCCACTGTACTTCATGTATATACGTATAATATAAATAAAAATAAACTAAAAATAAATAAATAAATAAAATAAATAAATATTGAAGTGATAACCGTGGAAACATTATGGGATGTTCTTATTACCACCATGCTATTGTACTATTCCATATGATACTAAATGTTACATAATACTTCCTTGAGATAAATGTATAGTATATAATAATCAGGTGCCTAAAGAGGGTCAGGTTCTCAACTGGCTCAACCATGTTAATATTGTTATTATTATCCACTCTGTATCTGTGTTTATCTGGCTAAATAAACTGTTTCAATTCAATTCAATTGTATAATAATAAGTATGAGTGATCTGTTGCATTACTTGGACATAAATTTAAATACCGTAAATTAAATAAGACCTTTTTATAGCATTTGTGTAAAGCTTAAGTGTATCTGTGTTGTTTTGTATATTATTTATAATACATAAAGCTTTGAGTTATACGAAACATTAAATATGAAAACTCTTCCACATACTAAACACCGAGAAATTGAATAAGGTAAACTTTTTATAGTTTTCGATTTTTTAATAAAGGTTAGGTAAGGTTTTCAAAGCTTTGTTTATTTTATTTTATTTTTTTACCACATTTTCCCTCTGCTTCAGGGCCCTGCCCACTTTGAACAAATAATATGGTCGGTAGCTTTATCGGTTAAAATATTCGAAAAATGTAAGCTTCCGACGAAAACGCTATTGAATAAATTATCTTTATTTTTTCTTTCCCTAGATAAGACGCAATATATAGGTGGGTGTTGGAAACTTCTAAATATTTGCCTACCTATTTATTCAGAGTATTGTGGGGTTCAGGATGTTTGGTTCACACTCAGGATGGAATGGAGAAAGGAAACTCACAATGTGCTCTCTGTATACATGTTGTATTGGATGTACACGCTTGGTGCTGGGATGGCAGCATGGTTACAAGCGTGATGTAGAAGGCTGGTTGGTGAGGATGCTCAGAAGGACCAGCTTGTGGGTCGCCATGCTCGCCGGCGAGCGAGGACCGCCAGGCAGGCGGAGGAGCGAGGGAGGCCGCCAGGCAGGCGGAGGAGGAGGAGGTGTTGCTGGCTGGTTGGTGTAGGTAGAAAGACAGGTCACCACTAGGTCAGGTCTTAAATAGCGGGGGTAGGCGTGGCTTAGCAGTTGACCCCCGCTCCGTGGTGTATGGCGGCGCTGGTTGACCCTGGACCATGAGGCATACACTGGGGAATTGGTGGGGTCGGCTGAGCAGCGACAAACAGCGTTTGTAGGGAAGAATTCCACTACAGTATTAATTTGGCATCCGGTTAATTCTAAATATGATTCCAGTACATCTAAATGTGTGAAGGGAATTTAGGGAAACACCATAGACATAGAGGTTATAAAAAGCCAAGCTCCGGTTTGAAATAGTTTCGGCTCTAGAATAACTACAAAGATTCTAACTACAAATATCTTGCTTTACTCTTAAATTTATAAGGATGTTAGAAATTATTATATAAATTAATAATGATATTTTAATAATTGTGATATTTACAACAAATCAACAATAAAAATACATTAATTAATATTTAGTGTAAGCATCCCTGGCGGTTCACTGTTGATGGTTAAACACAAACAAGTTTCAAAGTTGAGTCTACTGGACGGGGGAGTGACCGTGAGGGTTGCCACAGTGGTGCACCATGTATCAGCTGGGAGAAAAGGTACTTCAATTTAACATTTTAAAAAGATGTAATGCATTTAAGGTAAATATTCGTTTTGGAGCCTAGTCGAGTTCAGCACAAGGAAAGAAAGAGTATTTAGGGTTATTTCGATGTGCTAACACGAATCGGCTATTCTGTTCTTGAGCAAGTGCAGAGTTTTCTAGAAGTTAAATGGAGAATAATTGGTTAATATTCGTCCATTGGCTGTCCGTAGAGTCCCGCCATGTTTACCTGAGGTTATACTCCTCACTTAAAGTCGGTTGTCTCTTCCTTTCCTCCTCCTTGTAATTTAGGTTAGGTTAGGTAGGTTGGTTCCTTTGGTATGAGAATAGTATTTTGTTTGTGTGTGTGTTTTTTACTCAAATCTGATCTCTATTTTTTTATTGCAAATTATCTGTTTCTTAAATATGAAAATTTTATTTTTTTGCAAAAACCGCTAATTTGCACAAGAAATGAAGGTAAGATTTGAGTAAAACACACTCTAAAAGACTAAAGAAAACTATTCTCTGCAAACCTAAAGAGAACAGCCAATGGACGAATATTTACCGAATAACGTTGAAACTTACACAACATAACAAGGAAGTACTCTTACTGTACTGTAGTTCTGTTTGCTGTCAGGGTAAAGACTTAAAATAGTTTGAAGAAAGTGGTGCAGTCATTTCTTTTCATCAGAAAATTTCGCAAACTAACAAATATGGGATGACATCTCTCTACTATATAGTAACTGCTGCCTTTATTTATGTAACTAGCTTTAGATTAATATTTTAAGTACCATAAGTAATATTTCTTCACAATATTGTTCAGGATAGTACACAAGAATGGTTCTGTACATTAATGATGATTATTTTTGGCCTTTATTCCACAAACACCAGTTTATGGTGATTTTCTAGTTCAGTTTATGACGCTAATTACAGGTATGTTGATAATATTTATTTTGGTATTATCGTCAATCATGAAATATATAAACACAAATAAGTGTTATATTGATTTGCACAAGAAAATGATAGTTATTTCCATATTCAATTAGAAAAGCCTATCACAGTACAATATTCATTTTTAAAAAGTTTGACAGGCCCCAAAATTCACAGGTAAAATTATCGTTTTGGTCATCTACCTATTTGGAACCTAACCTAACCGGAGAAAATTGGTCTGCGCTGCTTCTCAAATGCATCCTAGCCAAACCTAACCTAACTGGTGAAAATTGGTCTCAGCAATGCTTCTCAAATGCATCCTAACCTAACCTACTAAAATTTGTTGGATGACCGAAGTGATAATAATACCAACAAACATTATCCCCATTTATGAATTCAGTATGATTTTTCCATTAAAGTGTAAAGCCTGACATAAATAATGAGGTACGTTGACTGTTGCCACTGTAGATTATAATGTAAGGGTGGTAATTATTATAAACACTGTCATGCAGATTAGGCATGGAAAAAATAAGGTACAGGATATAAGTACGACAGACTATACTGTATAATAATAGTTACTAAAATGGCTTCTTTCCGACTAACTTAATCTAACCTAAAAATTAACAAAACAGTCCATCAATACGGCTATCGTACCTATATCCAATTTGATTTTTGGTGTTCAGTATGTATGGCTACCATACTTACAGTTTGCCTATTACAAAGAAAATAATGCTTTTTTTTCATGCTGAATATACTATAGTGGCATATATAGGAAGGGCTGATATTGATGACTAACTTACCAACGTGTTATTTGTTTTGATGTTTATTTTCTTATTATATTTTCATTGGTGAATTTTGATATGATAATCATTTCTTTTGAAAATGATTCGTTTGGTAGATAATTAAGTGCCTAGGCATGCACTACTTTGTCTTCCTGGCAGTAATGCGGCGGTGATGCATCCCCATATGTAAACAGCCAATCATATTGATGCTCTGATCAACGCCTGTCTACGTCTATAAATTACTTTACCGTCTGGAAACTGCATATAAAGTTCTTTGATTAGATAAAATAGAATGATGGTCATACAAGCGTAAATAGGGCTGTGAATCACTTCTCGATTAGTATTTGGTGTCATTAAGTCACAAAAAATTGGTAAACTTAATTTAATCCGAGTTAGGTTAGGTTAGGTACATGCACTCGATCTATTAACTCAGATTATATTAAGTTTTCCAATTTTTTGTGACTTTGTGACACCAAATACTAGTCGAGAAGTGATTGGTATTCCGATTTATTCATGTAGGACCATTATTTGACTTCATTTGGGTACATTTGGGTTCATTTGGGTAATTAGTCAGACCCCTTCTGCCACTTGTTTTCTTATCAACTAATGTTAGGAGGTTAGGTTTAATTTAGAAAAAATCACTTTTTAACACATTTGCAAAAACTACCATGGTGTCTACTACAAAACACAGTGAAGTTGTGCCGTTTGCAAAATTGTTTTCTATGAAAAATCGGCAGCGGGTCAGTCATCAATGATTACCCTTGAATGAAAGTTTGAGGATATGCATAATTATTGAATTATGATCCTTCCTATCCTGTCAATCATGATACCACCAAAGGTGGACAGTACTTTCAAGCAGAGGGAAAATTTGGAATTTAAACCCAACTAAAAGAACCTAACCTAACCTACTCATTGTGGTCACCTACTCGGTAATAATTCTGCAAAACTGGCATACAATTTAAGCTGGTAAGTTGTTGTTTGCAAAATAATAACCAAAGTGCCTAACCTTATGTAATCTAGTCATTTACAGTTACATTACTCTCCTAGTTGTAGGTAGCAGGCAGCTACCAAACAGGGAGGTACTACCGCCTGGGAAGATATTGGAAGCATAATGTGTTGTCTAATGGTAGACCCTGCTGCCATATGGCATCACGAATATTGTGACCAAGTCCTAGGTTGCTGATCTGACTTTCTGCCTCATTTACACACAATTGCAGGGTCTCAATTGTTTCTCTTACAGTTGACAACACAACCTACAGTACATACTGTACTTATAGCATTTCTCACTATTGATTTTTTTTATTTTCATTATTACAGTGTTGTTATTGTTATTATTATTTTATTTGAGCTTTTATTTACTATGAATTACTGTATTATTATTATTATTATTATTATTATTATTATTATTATTATTATTATTATTATTATTATTATTAAATTTTCGCCCCCAGGCCCTGATGTGGGTCAGTGACCTGTGCCCGGGTGGGCTAATCTCCCTAAAAAAAAAAAAAAAAAATATTGGGTAATTAGGTAAAGATTCGTTTTATCCTCAACCAGGAATTCTATTACTAAAATTTGTTTTTCTTATGTTTTTCATTGTGACATGAACATAATTTTATGACCTTCACTTTTGGGGTTAATTCTTGGTTTTTGAGATATGAACATGATTTACAAAAGAAAGCAGGGCATGTCCAATAAACGTAAACACGATTCGCAGTGTACAAAACCAAGTTCACAGAATTAGTCTAACAAAAGCAGGTTTACTGATAAGCAGGTTGTATTATGTCAGGGGTTATTTTGGTGGGATAATCGAACAGGTTACTTATTGAATGACCTTTTAGGTCTTAGAATATGTTCGGAACCCAAGATTTTGCATAAATGCCAACATAAGCAATTGATGAGGCAGCACAATCTGACATCATATTTAGGGTAACATAATTACGTTATCAGAGATACTTGCACTCAGATGCTAATTTTGGGTTATGGTAGAAATATTTAGTACAGTATTGTGTACTATACAGTACAAGTATAGATGTACTTATTTTTGTTTTCTTTTTTCAGGTTGCAGTTCCAGCAGATGAATATGACTCTGTAATTGAAGAGTTAACGGAAGATATTATACAAAATAATCACAAATGCTACTCTTCCATCATTGATAAATACATTTGCCTTTCTCATGGTCTTACACCACCTCCCACAGGCACTGAAGGTTCTCAAAGCAAACTAACACAGAGAAGATCTCTTTTGAAATTCCTTGTGGAACATAAACCTGACTACAGTATTTCAAGCAAAAGTTTTAAAACCAGTAATAATTTTGAATGCTCCACATCAACCAATCCAGTTACAGAGAAAGACTTTGCAGAAGAAGTAGAAGAAACTCTGAACAGTCGCAAGATACAGTTGGGTTTACCAGAAAACTATCAGTTAGAGGAAGAAATGGATGTTGATTATGGAACTGATTCTTTGCCATCCGATTGTCAGATCACCCAAAACAGAAATGACAGGAAAATTCCTAATTATAAGAAAAATGAAAAAGAAAATGATTTACAAGAGAAGAAAAATAGGCACTTACAAGACACTTCCGAATCAAGTAAGAAGTTAATGAAGGTGAAAAGTACTGAAAATGCACCTGGAAAGAATGGACACTCACAAAGGAGGAATTGTGGTAAAGCAGTAAGCCAACAAACTGAAATACCGGTGAGAGACATAATTAAGAAACATATAAATTGTAAGAACAATTATGTTTCTGACAGCACAATGAGGAAACTAAGAGCCCAAAAGAAATATAACCAAATAAAAAATTTGGATGACATTGTACAACCTGAAATTGAAAACAAAGACAATTTGGCTGTTGAAAAAACAGGATGCGGTAATAATGATACGGCAACACCCTTAAAAAAACTAATACAAGTTAGACCTAATAACTTTAAAATTGTTCTCTTGGAGTCTGCTGATGCTGTTATCATACCCCACCTTGGACATTATGAGAAAAAGAAACTTGCAAAGAGCATGAACAATATATCAGATAGAAATAACCTCCCATTGTTTTCTGTTACATTTTGTAAAAATACAAAAGAAAAAGTGCCACATTCATTGAGAAACTTCCCTGATGCTGCTGCTAAACAACCTGTTACTAACAAAGCTTGTCAGGAAGAGTCAGAGATGGAGTCAACTTTGAAAGAAAGGGGTAATTCTTGCCAAGTTCGCAGGAGTAAAAGACTGAAAATAAAACTGGATGAGAAACAAAAAACTACTGAGGATGAAAATGTTCATCATGAACATTTATCTCCAGAGGTTAAAACCCAACATAAACAAGTAACAGAAACTCATAGCTCACCTGAAAATAAGTTACTGGTATTTAAGGAAGTGATAGGTAAAAGGAGAGGAAGGCTGAAGGAATATTGTAAACAAGATGAAGGGAGGTTGCAAGCTACGTCTATGAAGGTGGTATCATCTGCAGAAGTGGTGGAAAAGGACAGCGTAAATGCAAAAATTATGTTACCTTGCCCACCTCCTCCACCAAAAAATGTTAACCTGCAGAGACAAACCATTTTATCACATGAAAGTAAACCTCTAACTATACGTAAATGTACAGTCCAAATCCAAGTTCTTAATGAATCTCATATAAAGCAGCAAAATGACAGTAAAAAAGAAAACAGTACACATAGTGAAGGGACATTACCAACTTTGTCCACAAAGGCTGTCAGAGAGATTCACAACGAAAGACATGAATTAACAAAAAATGCTCCATCAGAAGAACATCAAAATGATAAAATAGTGGTGGTAAATTTACCAAAAGAGTCCAAAACAGAAATATCCTCCTTATCCTTAAGACAGGGAGCATCCCAACCAAGAAATAAGGGCAGGCTGGTATTAAATAGAAAATTATCTCACTCCAGAAGCTGTATAGTCTTTCAAATGCGTGATGGAAATAAAGAGAAAAGGAAGAGGTTTGATATTTTGGAAAATAGTTTAGATGAAAAAAATGAAATTCTTCCCGAAGAAGAAGCGGTGAATAACACAAAAAGTCAAGTAGAAATCAGTATTCTAAAGCCTAGCAAGACATCAAGTTGTATTAAAAGAGTTATATGTCAGGATTCACATAACATTCACAGTTTTCTTTCAAATAAAGGTGAGAAAAGGAAATTGGGAAGCAGGCAAGGGTGGCATGAAAGTCAAGAAGAAAGTATAATTACTGGCATAAATGCTGTGAAGAAGAAGAGATGTCATTCACCTACACATATTGGTGCACAAAAGATATCTGAGAGGGGCCGTTTTCCAGACATTTCAAGTATTGTTGAAGACTCGACATTGCCTGTATCTCCTTCATCTAAAGCACGAAAACAGAAAGTCTTATCAGCACTTACAAGTGTTGATTCAGGTATTTCAATAAGTCAAAATGAATATATCCGGGGTGCTTCAGAGACATTTGAAGGAAAATCCCATAAATACAGTGGCTATCACGAAGTAAGTAGTAATACCAATAGAAACATAAGTCCATCTGCAACAGCACAAATTGGTAGAAACACATCAGAAAAAGGAAGTGATTGCATTAAAAATGTGGATAAAGATTTACATAAAAATCTTTTGCCTCCTTCACATTTAAAAATGGATTCTGATTCAGAAGAAGAGCTTTCTCTCCTACCAGTGCAACACTCATCATTGTCAGTCGGACCCCACCAGAGCTCTCTCCGAACTGCCTTAAGGGTGTGGGCACCAATTCATGATTCTAAGCTTCAGGTAGGTTCTTATTTTTAACCTGTTGAAGTTTTACGCCCGTATTATTAAACAACATCTTCCCTTGAAAAGTGTCGTCGTGTTTCAACCCGAGTTTTAAACTAAATGAGTCCTGAGGGACACCGCAGTACAGTACTTAATGGGATGGTGTGGCGGTAAGATTAGCTAATTCCAATATTATAAATTAATTTTATTGGAATTAGTTAATTTTACCGCCACACCTCCCCGTTAAGTACAGTACTGCGGTGTCCCTCAGGACTCATTTAGTTTAAAACTTGGGTTGAAACACGATGACCCTCTTCAAGGGAAGATGTTGTTTAATAATGCGGGCGTTAACCTCTTAGGTTAAAACCTTGAAAAGGGTAATAGTTTATTTGTTTACCATTTTAAAGTAGCTCTCATTCATGGTTCTTTTTATGACTTATGACTGACTTGTGAGAGAATCCAACCATTAAATACCCTCTCCAAAGTTCATTAGGAATGGTGCATAGTTAATGGCATGTACAGTTGGAGTCAAAAGTCTTGAACACTTAGGAATATCTGGCATCTACTTCTGAGTTATACATATTTGAATGGGATATACTAATAACACTATTTGTCATCACATATTATGCTTGAACCACAACATGGGATAAAACTCTCCTTAATACCTAAGATCTTTGGGTACTTACAGTACATGCCAAATACTGTCAAGTGTTCAAGACTTTTGACCCCGACTGTACATTGTACAGTCTAGTCAGATCATAAATTACATTTATCCCTGGGTGCTTGATTGAGATGGTATTTCCCTTATCCATGTATTTCAAAACATTCATATCATATTTTGAAACATAGCTAATGAGTTCAACTCAAAATAGGGCAAATTCCACTTTGAAAGGTTAGCAAAAGTTTTTTTTTTTTTTTTTTTCCTCACAAGGCAGCAATGACACAAAATTAGAACCTATGATATCCAACATAATCACTGAAAGTGCATTGCATTCCTGAGAACAATTTGGATGCCCGACTGGAGACCTGGTGGCATCTATGCCTTGTTGGCTGAACAATTTGATCGGGGCTGAAGGTGCTTTTACAAAATACAGTACTGTATTAGTTAAATATGATTGATATCTGAATATTGTCTTCCTATCCAAGAAATGTTTGAAGGTCTATCACAAATAAATATAAATTATATACAGGTACAGTATATTGTTTCTTTGATTTTTTATTCCTAAATGGACCAAAAAGAAGTGTTGAAAACTGCCTGCCAACTACCGTAAACATGCCCAATATTGTCGTCGGCTCTCTAAAATGTAATTTCGTCTATTTTCAATACATGTCACTATAGTCACATCAATATTTAATGCTATTTATTTAAATAATTGCCAAGAAATTTTTATAAATGAGAAAATATTGACATTGCTGACATAATAATAAATGTGCATTGAAATATTAGTTCCTCAAATTAATTTAACATGTTCACAATTTGTATTCTTTGATTGCATCATGACAAGTGACAGAAACAGTGTTACTATTAGCTACACATATTCCCAGATAAGGAAAGCAGGGCTACCAATGTGAAGCCAGATGTGAGAGCATTGTATGGGATTTTTCGCCAGTTTGTCATAATGTTTGACAATGAAAGGGTAACAGTAATTTATGGTCTGACTGTACAACCTCCAATTGACAAATGGTCAGAAAATGTTTTGTTACAGTAATCTCTCATTCACTGGATTCAGGGTCCATTGGACCCCATTTGAACTTGTGGTTGACTTAAAGTCCAATGAGGAATAAAATTCACTGAGTAATTTATTAGCTCATATCCTTAGAATCCTTTTTTTTTCCCATAGAATACTGCACGTAGTTTAACCCAATTCAGTCTTCTGGGATTACTGCTTGAGGATAACTGTAAAGAATACACATCATCATTGTCATCTATTTCATCATCATCATTATTATTCTATGACCATTTTCCATGCTTGCGTGAGTTAGCCATGATTATCTGATGGCAGCTCTCTGTGTTGCGTAGTCTCTTGCTGGCTCTGTTGTCAGGTTCTTATGTCTGAGGTCATTTCTTACAACCTCTCCATACTATGTAAATAAAATTATTTTTAATTTGTCATTACCTTTATCAACAAATTACTGTAACTGACATTTCAACAGAGTTCACACATGGAAAGATCCAAGAAGAGTCTTCAGAACCAGGTTAGTGTCAATATCGTTTGTTTTTTGTTAATTTCCTTCATACTATCTATGTTTGAGGAGATAATGAAATCCTTGATAGGTTGGGTGACAGCACAGATGATTTTTGGCTCTTTAAACTTTGGGGAAATACAACTCAGTCCTGTCAATTCTGTTTAGCATAATCTTGGAGTGTACTTTGACTCAAAACTGAATTTTAAAGAGCATGTAAATTTGGTTGTTAGAGATGCAACTTTCATATTCAAAATCTATATGCTGTCAACAGGTTTTGGATCTACAGTGTCTTGTGACATTATTTTGTCTAGAGTTGACTATTCTAACTGTTTATGGGTCTGCCAACCTAATTATCTAATTATTTACTGAAAAAATTCCAACAGTGTTGAACAGGGTTGCCTGACTTATTTTTGCTCTCCCAGCATGGACTTCCATTACCCCATTCTTGATCAAATTACATTGACTTCCAATTAAAGCTAGGTTAGTTCAAACTGTCTAATGACTTTTAAATACGGTATGTATGTTCACTTCCACATTTACACACCAATGCTCTTCATTTTTCTTATTTTATGGTTTTATAGTACTGTACTGTACATTTACAGGCACTGTATACAGTACAGTACATTGTTTTCTTTATTTATAAGCCACATTACAGTACAGTATTGTAATAATGCTAACTTGGAGCACAGGATGCCCAGTTATTCCGACTTCCCTCACAAATTTTTCTAGTGAGTTGAAAATTGCGAAACTGAAAATTCATGATTGTTAAATGAGAGTGTTAAAATGTTAAGTCGCTGAGTGAACTACAGTATTGTTAAATGAGGGATACTTGTATGCTTCGTGCTTTGATGATTAAAATGCCTTGAATTATTTGTTCTTGGGGATGAATCTTTGACTGTGATTATTGTGGTTTAATCGATACACTGCATTTTTCAGTCTGTTATGTTATGAAAAGTTATTTAATCAATGTATCTTTTGCAGGCTCACAAGAATTCTCAGAGTTTCTGGGACATAGACAGTGATGAAGGAATGGAGACCCAAGCCCAAAATTCAACCTTAGATCGCAAAACCCAGTCAAATGAAGTGCAACACGCTGCATCATCCACCTCTCAAAGATCCAAAGAAAGTTTAGCAGACACTATAAGTTGTTCGCCCAATTACACAATTTTGGGCGGTGAGCGTTGGCTTGCTGCCGTCAAAGCAATGATACCACATAAAAAGGTACTGTAATGTTTTTCTTTGTAGCTATTGCAAAATTATTGAAATTACTAAGTATTATTAGGAGCTAATTTTCTTGTTAGGAGAAGCATTGACAATATCGGATCTAGATTACCAGTACATGTTTTGTATTATGTGTGTGAAGGTCAGTTTTATAATGTTTACCTTGTTTCATTGATGCCTGAGGGAATGAGGTACAGTACTTTGATAACAAAGATTTAATAGTGTTTATTATTGTATGCAAAGTAATGGTCCTCATACTTATACAGAGAATTGTTTTACATAAAAAAAATTAACATTCACTGCTCCAGTTCATTACAGACACTCCCTGGGTTATGGATTTCTTACTTTACCTGTGAGTTCTATTTTCCTCATTTTATTAAGTTACATCACACTGATTCTTACATACAGAAAGTGCAAAAAAAGAGATAATAATGAAAGAAATACTTGTACTGTATAGTAATTGTATATAAATTATGTGTACTGTGTGTGTTCAATGATTACCATTGGAAAGGTCGCTTCTGGCTTACAGATAATTCTTCTTACAGATAGCCTCCAGGAATAGAACCCATCTGTAACCTAGGGAGTGTCTGTATTTGATAATTTTTCTTAGAATTATTTTGATTACTTTTAACCCCTACTCCCCGGGCTAGGGTGCTGCTGGCCTTAACCCCCATGTGGGGTAAATTGAGAAAAATCAACTTTTCCAAAAATAATTTTTAACTTTTTTAAATGATAAAACAATAAAAAAATAAGTAAGAAAAACTATATATTGACCCTCTAGAAACTTCCCTGTGGCAGTAGTGGTGAGGGATATAAGGGGACAGTGTTGTTTTGACAGCTGACGCTCGTGGTCACTACGCACTTAGCGGCCATTTTCTGCTTGTGTCGCCAGGCTATCTGGCTGTCTTTGTGTTTGGTAGAGCAAGTTATGTATATATTATAAAAAAAAACATTTATAGTGTGTTTGTAGGCCTAAAAATCAGTTTAATACTAATTTGAATGTCTATAAAAATTCAGGTGGGTTGAGATATATGTCTCCTGAACACTCTTGGCCCTTTTTGTACACATTTACATTCAGTTATTCAATTGGCATTGCACTGGGTTTTGGGACAATACACACAAACTATGTCTTCTTTACATATATTGTACAGTAATCCCTTGGCATCCACAGGGGTAATGTTCTATAACTCTCCCACTATTGGTTAAGCAATGTTTGGCATGAGCTCGGTCTAATGGAAAATGGGGTTTGAGGAAGTGACCCCTTGAGAGATATACCTAGAGTCCTATAATATACAGCTCTAGGTTAAAAACAAGTAGAGGTGGGTGGTTTACTTAAAATAAATTCATTACAGGCATGCTGTATTGTAGGTACAGGTTGAACCTCAATTTAACAGCATTGAAGGGACCTGGACTGTGCTGTTAAATCGAAGTATGTGGGGGGTGGGGGGGGCATCACTGACTAAACCATTGCATCAAGCACTTTTCTAAAACTTCGGGTTTCCCTGATTTCATGTGCTTACCCTTTTACATTCCCTTCTTTGTGTCACTGTCCACATAGTACTTAAGAAGTTATTCTTTCTGCTTCTTTAAATCATAAATTGGTGAAGACCCGACACCATAGACATCTGTAATATTTCAACCTGCTGCATATTGTTCAGGGGAACTCTTTTCTTCTTTGGATCACTTGTAACTCTGGTAGGGTTTTTAGGTCGCTGAGGCCATAATTGGGAGCATTGCAGCAGGTAGAGGAATTAGTGAAAATTACAGGCAGGCCTTTCAAATTTATGATCTCTTAATTTTGTCGTTAAATGCGAGTTACTGGTAAATCCAGTGCCATTCAACCGAGGTTCAACCTATAATTAACAAGTGTAATGAAGCGGTCCCATTTTGATGCTCCCACTGTCAGTGCACATACAGTAAGGAACCCCCTTCCCCCCCCAAAGTCGGAGTATATGAGGCTCAAACTAACCTGACTTATGTGGAACCAACCCCCCCCCCCCTTCCCCAGTAATTTCGACCACCATTTTGCTGAAAAATCACATCCACAAAGTTAAAGATTACAATACCTATTTGCAGTGTACATACTTACATTGTAGCAGAAGAGTTTTGAGGTTATTGTAGCAGACAACTCTCGATCAATCTTGAGTTGGAGGACAAAGGGGGGGCCTCTTAAATTTCCTTTACTGTAATTTCACATATACTATTTAGTTTTACTCTTATTTATCTGTATAGTTACACTTAAAACTAGCATTTATTTCTTGGTTTAATCACTGTTGGGATCGAGGATGTGAGGTGTAGGGTGAATGAAGGGATAAGCCAGGTAGGTCACTGTCAGAGGACATTGCAACAATGACGGCCAATGAATCACTGCTAGTAAAAGGGTACTCTTTTCTTGGCACTGGCATTGGTCTGAAAAATTCGTGAATTTTAACTTGTTTAAGTTGTGCATGTTGCTGGTTAATTACAATAGTACGCAAGTCTCTCAGCACTGGGTAGTACTTTTGGTTTTCAAATTTCAGCGCCTTAATCCTCTTCTTACTCTTTGTAGCTTTACCAACATCATCTAACGACAGTGCATAGTCCCTCAGCTTCCGCTTGGCCCTCTTGATGTCGTAGAAAGTACCTGTAATTTTCTTCAACCTAAACTCCTGACAAATCATGTTCATGGAGATACTAGCATTAATCCTGTCACATTTCTTCAGTTTTTCTTCAATGGATATAATTCTAACTGCCAGTCCTTTTCTCCCAGTGGTCTTCAGTGGTGTAGTCTTGCCTCTGCTTGGTTTAGATGCACGCTTAAAATTGAGTGTTTTGTGGTGCTGAGAAGAAAAAGAGACATCCATTTTAGATTTTCTATGTATTATTAAAGCATTTCCAACTTACGACCATTTTGACTTACTACCTGGATTTGGGTCCCTAACCCCATTGTAAGTCGGGGAGAAGCTGTATTTATTTCCTATCATATGTTTTTATGCTTTATGTATGGTGTTTCGAGGGTGAATTTCCATGGTCCGGCACTGGTCAGGTCCCGAGGTTGCCGGACTAGAGAGGTACAACCTGTATATATGTAATGAACAAGATCCTAAATTCATAAGTTAAATTAACAAAGAAAAATTAAGACTGTGGCACTAAGCAATGATTTACGCCTACTGGTTAGTAGATAGACCTGAATGTTAGGATCCTGTCCAGATCCTATTCACATGGAAGCTCAGTAGCTCACATAGCACTTTTACAATATCAAATCATCTATTATTGCATTTATGCTACTGTTATTGAATAAATGCTTTACTTACAACAAAAAAGTAGCTTCATTAAATTACAGTACTAATTACAAGTACATAAATTTTAATAATTTATAAAGCCTACTTTGTAACAATCATCAATACGTTAAATTGCAGCAATTTAACAGACTAACATATCCATAGATAGATAGTTTACTAGAAAGTTTCGGTATCGGCTTTAGGATGAGTATCGTTATCTATTGGTATCGGCACATTTCTAATATGATATTGCTCAAAGCATGGCATCCAGCACAGTACAACATGTGCACTTCATGGGCATCACTTTAACCTTTGTATATCTACATTCTTCTGCCAGACGTCTGGAACAATACATATATTCATCATAATTGCATTACTGTACTGTAATAAATTTAGTCATCACTGACACCTCAACTTTATCTGATGCCCTCAGTATTTCTGTAACAATTCCATAGCTACCAGCAGTTGTTCCATTCTTCATTTTGTCAATTGCTCTCTTTGCCCATTCTTTCAATCCTTGGATATGGCTCTGCTACCCCTAGGTTACCCCTGTCCCATTCGTACTTGTCACTTCATAGTCAATCTTGGTAATTTCTCACTCTGCTCACCAACAACATCCTTGTTTCTACCCACTATTTGCCTGGCTGTTTTGAACACCTCTACTCTTGTGTCTGCACTATTCAACATGTCTGTGAATGTATCCTGTGAATGATTCTTTTTCTTAGCCTTGAAGACCTTACTTTTGACCCTGTGCTTGACCTCCAGATATTCCTTGTCACCACCCATTATCTTTTCTCCATTATCACTGTCCACTTTATTGTTCCACCATCATATTACTGCATGCCTGGCTGGTCCCTTTGTCCAGCCACTCTAAGAATGTTCTTAATTTTGTCCCAACATTTTGCTACACAACCCATAACACTGTCACTGGATGTTTCCGGTCTTCTCAGCTCTACTTAAAATCCTTCTCTTATATTCTGTTCTTTCAACTTTCACACTCTCCTTCTTAGAACATACACCTTTTCCTTTCTCTGCACCTTTTAGCATCGTGTCACACTCAAGCAATCTGTGCTGCAAGGCACATTCTTCCCCTGCTGTAATCTTCCTATCTGAATTCCCAGTGAGAAAGTAGTTAATCTGTGTTTTGTGCCACCTGACTTGTGTATAATCAGCCTAATCAGCAACTATGCTCATTGCATCCCAATCTCAACTATTCTTTCTCCTTCCACATTCCTTGTAGATACGAAACTCTTTTCCACCATGTACACCTTCATAACCCTCAATATGTACATCAACAAGTCCATTTAGGACACCTTTCAGAACTACATCTCCCTCAACCAGCTCCAACACTACACACAAGTTGATGTATTTCAGAGTCTTTATCTCAACCATTAACATGTTTAGTAAATTAAGAGAACAGTTTGCTGAGTAATGTTTGGTAAATCTTTTATTTTTTGACAGCCTGTTTTGCTGCTGGCCAAACATTTTTCATCAAGAAGAGAGGATACCAAGAGAAAATTTCACAAGAAGAAGAATTGCTGAGATATCAAATTATCCAGGTAGTTACTTAGTCACATATTGTATTGCAAATATGTAAATAAAACAAAATTTAAATAAAAGTTACAGGTACAGACCCTCGGAACTGGATCTCAGAAAACCGCTTATTTTCTTACTTACTTTAGGTTAAATTATCCTCCTTTGCTAAGTCAAGTTTTGCCTCCACTCGCTCACATAAACTTAGTTGAAGGTTTGTTTTACTTCTTAAATTACAAAATAAAGAAAACATTGTTGTATGAATATTTTAAATAAAAATTACATTAAATACAGTCTACAGTATTTAGAAATTAAGAATTCCCTAAATGAGATTTAAATGGGTTTGTTGACATTCCAGAAACTTGTAGTGAGTCACATTTTCCAAAAATAGAGTTCATAAATAAGTATTGTCTGATTCAAATAACCCAATAGAGTACTGTACCTTCAGTGTCTTTGATTATATTTATTTGTATTAATAAAGTACAGTCGGCCCTTAACATACGAGGGTTTAGCATACACGGATTTGCAAATACGAGGATTGCCCTGCCGGAGGAATATTCTGTACATTGAAGTAATTGAAGTACATTCAAATCGCGTGCCATTCAACTCGCGCAGGCACCGAACACGGGACACCGCCTGCTCCCGCAACCTCACACACACACGCATAGCTCTCCCTCACTCAGTCAGTCTTGCTGTAACCACACTTGTGTTGACATCAGCATTGTAGTTGCAAAAATATTACATTTCTGTGAATGTATTATATCAAGCACAGTATGAATAGAATATCACTAATATAAGAGTATTTTAACCGAAAACTACTAAAAAAACGAGTAACATATCTTGAACATCGGAAGGTTAGGTAAAGTCTTTTGTTTTCATGTAGTTTATCCTAATTTACATTGAAATACATTACGTTTCAGCAAAACTACTACAGTCAACCCTCACTTTACGCGGTCCCACATTCTGCGTTTCCACGTTTACACGGTGCCCTGCCAAAACCCAGGATGCTCACATTCCGCGGTGCGTGTACCCCTTTACGCGGAAGTATAATTTTTTTATTTAGCTCATAAAATTCATACAAATTATCCGGCCAGAATATAATTTACATTGCTGGAATTCTTACAATTTGATGATCATTTTGAATATAAACATCATAGATTTTGCATTAGACATACAAATTTTAGATGTAATGTTTACTCTGAGTAAATATGTTATCTTTTGTGCAAAATATATGACATTTATATTCAAAATATTCCTGGTTTTACAAGGAATCCAGCAATGTCAATTATATTATCCTAACTTTAGTGTGAGGTATTATTTATTACTAAAAAGGTAAATAGTCTGGTTTTCCCACACATTTATCTGGTAGGGAGGGTTGGTGGGAGGGAGGGAGGGACGGACGGCCATCTGGCACCGTGTGAAGAATATTTTTTTTTTTTTATTAACTGAAGATATTTGTTTTAGCTCATAAAATTCATACAAATTACCCAGCCAGAATATAATTTACATTGCTGGAATTCTTACAATTTGATGATCATTTTGAATATAAACATCATAGATTTTGCATTAGACATACAAATTTTAGATGTATTGTTTACTCTGAGTAAATATGTTATCTTTTGTGCAAAATATATGACATTTATATTCAAAATATTCCTGGTCTTACAAGGAATCCAGCAATGTCAATTATATTATCCTAACTTTAGTTTGAGGTATTATTTATTACTATACCTTAAAATCCAGTGGTTTTCCCCCCCAAATTTCTCAGAGAGGGAAGAGCCAGCGAGTGTAGTGTGAGAAGAGGGGGAGGGAGTTGAGTCCATTATTTGAATGGACATTAACTTGGCGACTGTATTTCTCTATTTCTCTTAAGTATTAATTGTGTGCATTTACCATCATAAAATTAAGATGTTATTTTTACTAGAACATAGGTATTGTGTTGGAAAAAGTGGAGTTTGGGGGTCAGCTGGTCTCTATTTCATTTAATCCCATATGTTATGTTATTCACTTTACGCGTTTCTCACTTTCCGCAGTACTCTGTGGGTTACATTAACCGCGTAAAGTGAGGGTTGACTGTATTTATTTCTGAGAATATGGAAATGTAATATTTTTGCTGAAATGACGTACGTATTACAGTGGAAAGGGACGAAAGCAATGACTTTCGCTTTCTTTCGTTCAAAAGATGTTACCGTAATCGCTTTTCGAATGGTTTTCAGTTAAAAAACTTTTGTATTACAATAATATTCTATCCTAATTTACTTGTGATGCAACAGTTTTTTTAACTGAAAATTATTCGAAAAGCGATTACGGTAACATCTTTTGAACGAAAGAAAGCAAGTCATTGTTTTCGTCACGATTTTATCCCACTTTCCACTGGAATACGTACGTCATTTCAGAAAAAAATATTACATTTCCGTGAATGCATTATATCAAGCACAGTATGAATAGCATATCATTGTAATATAACAGTACTTTAACCGAAAACTATTATAAAAATGAGTAACATCTCTTGAACATCGGAAGGTTAGGTAAAGTCTTTTGTTTTCGTCATGTATTTTATCCTATTTTACATTGAAATACATCACGTTTCAGCAAAACTACTATTTATTTCTGGGAATATATTCATTCGGGCTCAGTTTAGGTAAAATATACATGTGATGTAAAATTTTTTTAACTGAAAATGATTCGAAAAACACGTACCCTCTAGCCCTGTTCAAGGAGAAGACTGGGAGGAGCTGTTTGGTGTTGAAGACGATGACAAGGAAAATGATTTTGATGGATTTTAATGAAAATATTCAGAAATGTGGTATCGTGGTATTTATTCAAGTGAATTAGGATAGAATATTATTGTAATACAACAGTAGTGACTATGTGGAGGAGGCGGAGGGATAGAGCGGGAAGGAGGTGACTGGCGGGAGGAGGGACGAGTGGAGATCCCAGCCAGTACATTACGGGTGTATATATTGTTTTTATAGCTATTTTTGCATTTTAATATTAAATACTGTACATTACGCTTCAACAAAACTACCATTTATTTCTGAGAACATAGAAATGTAATATTTTTGCTGAAATGATGTACGTATTACTGTGGAAAGTGGGATAAAATTTGACGAAAGCAATGACTTTCTCTTTCTTTCGTTCATCTTTTGAACCGAAATCGCTTTTCGAATGGTTTTCAGTTGTGGGATTATAAGGCTAATGATAGGATAGAATATTATTGTAATACAGTACGAGTACAACAGTTTTTAACTGAAAACCATTCGAAAAGCAATTACGGTAAAATCTTTTGAACAACGAAAGAAAGCGAAAGTCATTGTTTTCGTCATGATTTTATCCCACTTTCCACTGTAATATGTACGTCATTCCAGCAAAAATATTATATTTACGTATTTATTTCCGAGAATATATTCATTCAGTCACAGTTAAGGTAAAATATACTTGTGATGTAATATTTTAATGAAAATACGGTATCGTAGTTTTCTTTTGTTTCAAATTTAATTAACAAAGATTGATGTTTCAAATGTAATGAACAACAATTTATGTACAGTATCTATAAATACACTTTAATAAATGAATACTTTGTTTTACATCGCCCTGTGCTACCATACCATGGATTTGGCTACTTTAGGCTTGCTATGATGGCGCAAGAGATCTGCCCTGGCAACTGTACCGACACTCACAGCTGGTGGTGCGTTGGTGCATCGTTTCCATTGTTTACTGGTAGTTACTGGTAAATATTTTTCAACCTAACGAAACTATTACCCTTTTAGAGGTCGACCCCCGCGTATGTTAAGGGCCGACTGTATTATTGTTTTCCCTTAGCTTTTGAAATTAAATATTGGTGAAATAAAACCAAAGATTTTGGGTAACTTAAGCCAGATGCTACGTGTTGTTGTATGGGACTGTTTATCTGGTATCCTGAATGCTCCAAAAACTGGCTATGTTGTAGAACAATTTATTTAAAATGAACGCCAAAATTAATTCCAGAGCTGGGATATTTCCAACCATTCCCCACTATTATGTTATGTTATGGTTATTTTCAACTCATAATTTCAGGTAAATATACAGTACAGTATGTATAATTATCTTAAAGTTCTTTACTCAGTTACATAAACATTCAATCTTACATAAAGAACATGTAAAAAAAAAAAGAAATATCATTTTCATAAGGCATAGATTATTTTTCAACTCGTAATTTTGGGTACATGCGCATACAGAAAGTGCAAAAAGAAATGGTATTAACATTTTACGTATACAGTAAACCCTCAATAACTCGGCATGGATATGGTTTCGGAATATTTTATAGTATAACTCGGGAAATGCCGAGATATATAAAATTATCTGGGAAAATCTCGGCATATCTGGCCCCCTGTATCACCCACCCCTGTGTCACCTACCATGCCTCTGTGTCACCTTAACATACCTCTGTGTCACCACCTTAACATATCTCTGTGTCACCTACCATGCATCTGTGTCACCTATGGTGCTTTATTCTTCACCTACAGTGCTGGTAAGTGTTACTTTTTTTATATTTAGTAATTACATTTCCACATAAATGAGTCGATAATTTTTTATTGTATTTTTGTAGGAGGAAGTGCCTCGATAAGTCGGAATTTGGGATAACTCGGCAAGGCCAGAGCCCCATATGTGCCAAGTTATCTGAGGTTTACAGCCAAGAAGCTGTGTGGTGTGTGTGTGTGTGTATAATTTAGAATTATAATTTTTTGTGAACTAGGTGTTCTGATTATTTTTTATTATAAGGAGCAGTTATTTTGGCAAGTTTAGGGAGATTTTATTGTATATAATAATGTATTACCTATGTAAGAATTAACTGGAATGTATTGCATCATTTTTGTTATGATTTACTTATGCATTGTAAGCCTAGATCATTCTAGAGCCTTCCAGGCGTATCTCGTTCTGACTTGCAATGCCTGGATGATGCTAGGATGCTCTGGCCACCTGAGGAGATGTATAAATAGCACCTGGGAAGCATCTGGGGAGTATTCGCCCGTTCCTGCTTAGAGTGAAGTACAAGCCTAGTGACAGCTAAAGATAATTATAGTTCAAGTATTGTGGAATTGTGAGCTATATTAAGTTAAAAGGCAAAGGAATTATACACTGGTAGTGTGCTGACTATATATATTTGAAGTGAGAAGTCCAGTGGTAAAGACATACTCTGTGAACAGTTTTGTGAAGAGGACTTCAGTTCACAAGCAGTGATTCTGTGACCTGGTGGATATCTACCTGCCTGTTGTTTGTCTGTACACTGATACTGATCGTCCGGAAATTACTG